ATATTGTCTTTTTTTGTGTGGTGTAAATTTTTTTTTTTATAACATTTAAGAATTTAAGGAACAAAAGATATTTTTTCAAGTCGTTAGTGGAAATCAATTTTTCAATTGATTAAACAAAACATTTAAAATTTAAAAACGAATCATTAAATTCAAAAGTTCGATCAAGAAAAATGCACAGATAGCTAGAGATGTCGGCTAGTTTTACGCAACTGCATATACACGCATGCTAGAATTAATTAATCTTATTGTCGGATGTATAATGTAGCAGATTAGAAAGGAGACAGATAAAATTTGAGGCATGTGAATGCCAGTACTTAACGGACCTATAGTTACATATATGCTATATATATATATAGTTTTAGCTTCAGTCGGCTGCTAAAACTTTGTGACTGATGAATCACTTTCATTGCCCATTAACAACTTCATAATGCAATCATGTTAAGATTTTAGAGAAATGTTGTGTAGTTGAGATTTCATATTTCCATTGTATAAAATTAATCATTAATGGGGATTTCTTCTTGGATGTGGAGCTATGAGTTTTATTTGATTTAATTGTTTTAAATAATATATGATATATAGATAATATTTAAATTATATATAATAATCATCGATTATTGAATGTTTGTTATTAAATATCAATTATTTTAAATAATTAAACTAAATAGAGTTATTATTTCTTGTTAATAATTATTTTTTTATAATCTGATAGAATTAAGATCGGAAAAAAAGTGTTTCAATAAATCTTATCTTCACAAACTTTTCATTACTTTTCTTTGTTTGAGTGTGAAGTGTGAACCGAATCACATATTTGTGAACGGTGACAGATCAAAGAATCTAATGAATGTGCATGTGAATGCACTTGAATTTTTTAATAAACTCAGACCATTTTATAGATTTAAAGTTTAAATTTTAAAATAAATATTTATAAAAATTAATTTTTTGAATATAACAAATCAATATAAGAGACAAAATTTTAAAAATATTTTTAAAAAATTAATTTTAAAATATGTAAAAATTGACTCAACACATCGATGATAATAATGTGTTATGTGTGCATGGTACGAGAATCCATTTCCAAAATTGACAGGATCTTTATAAATTTGGTTTGCCGGAAAATTAAATTAGAAAATGATGTTTCTTTTCTTTGCTTTACTGTAAAGAGACCTTAGGTCGTTGCATTTATTGTTTGTTGATCGCTTTATTTCAATGACTTTCTTGTCTTTTTACTCATTTTGTCCACGTGTTAATATTTCAAAATTAGAATTTTTTATTTTTATTAAAAATAAATTATCACTAATCCACTTTAGTGGATGATTATTGCATTATTTTTTTTATCAACTAAACCCAAAAATTAAGGTTTAAGGGCAAACCATTCAGTTTGAAAATCTGATTTTTTTAGTGGTTGATTATTGAATTATTTTTGTTGCGGGTTTAATATGTTAAAATGAAACAAGAAAATGGATAAGGAAAATAGCTAGATCGGGTTTCGGGAAAAGGAAAAGAGATGAATCCATTTTAGATTTGGATTTATTCTAGCTACATTTTTTTTTATATTAATTAATATAAAAAATAATAAAAATTGATATTAATTTTATTATTAATATTATATGTATTATTTTAATTAAATAATTAAATAAATAATTATTAAATTTTATTTTTTTAATAACAATTAATGTTAAAAAAATATTTTTAATGTGTGCACTTTGAAGAACCCTTTAAATTTTTGGGTTTCTTTCTTCAAGCCTAAACCCAAAAAGAGAAAATGGATTGCTCAAGAAAACCCCAAGTCCAGGTCCCCTACTTATTCCGGTCCATGCCCAGCACTAACTTTATTTTTTTCTGCCAGGAAGCCCAATAATACTAGGCTTACTAAACCCCACAAAAGATAATGGATTGCTCAATAAAAGCCCAATACCATCTCCCCACTCATTTCCGCCCATACCATACTTACCTTTTGTCAGCATGGAAGCCCAATAATTCTAGAGGTGACGAAGGAAGGAGCAGTAGCTATTTCTAGAACCAGAAGCTCACATTGTAGAATCTACTAAGCTGAAACAAGAGAATTCAATTGAAGTTTCTGTAGATCTTTTATGTGCACAAGTTGTTAATTCATTAGTAAATCCAAGTGATTACAAATGCACATGTACAAATTATTGCAATCACCGATTTCTTCTATAAAAAGCCAGTAATTAATATTTTATTAATCTTCTATTTTCTATTAAAAATCTGAAGACAAATCTCATATCGATTAAATAGATGAAATTTTGAATGAACTAGCAAGATGGTGACTTATTGCAATGTCTAATTTGATGTATGCCATGTTGACTTGGATATGATTTAGCTATCATACACTTCTGCATCTTGATTTACTCAGAATTAATGAAAATAGCAGATGATCCAACTAATTAATATATCCCTAAACAAGTTGCAACTGTGCATCAATTGGCAATATGCGCCGGTCCACTTTGCAATAATGGTACCTTTGGACCCCCCCACTACTAAATACTACTAATTACTTTATTAACATCTAATTAAAATTAATAGTTTTTGTCTGCCACCATTGTAAAATTCATGTTCTACTCAACTGAAAATTTGATGGAATCAATTCAAACAGGAAGAGATATGAGCATTTACAAGGGTCTTGATTTCTCGACTATAACTTTGGAAGTGAAAATACTATTTTAACGTAAATGACATGCCTTTAGTCAAATTGGTACTATATTGAAAAAACGAGAGTTTGTTGAAATACAACTATTGGGGTGACAAAATGTAGTACGAAAAATAAATTGTGCTGGCCATTTAGATGCATATTCTAAAGTTTGAGGTAAAAAATTTGGTGTTGAGAAGCCTAGGTGGCAGACACCCTGGACCCAGGTCATCAAACTAGTCAGCAAACCTTACACGTCCTCATGTTAATGATCATAAAGGGCCAAATTGAAGGTACGTTCCCACTTTCCCAAATGGGTATGGACTATGTACATTATGAATGGTACAATAGAGTCATGGAAAGTGTTCATAGAAAGCATCATTTTTGCTTAGGAATTCAAAGGGGGATTTTCCTCTCAAATGCCTCCACTTTCGACGGCCATATATTCAGTCGTTTATCTTTCTTTCATTTCCTTTAGCAATTTTCCAAGTTTAGAGATTCGTAGTTCATGGTAATCCCAATTCTAGGGGCTTAATCATATTTTTTTAAAGCAAATATCAATTATAACTTAATTAATTAAGTATATAAAAGTTAACTTTTGATATATCAAAAAAATGATTGAATCAGTAAGAAGTTAAATAAAAATCTAGCACATATACTCTAAATAACAAGTTTATTTTTTTATGGATCTTGTCTATATACATATTTGGTTTCCATATCGATATATATATATCGCTGAAAACTTATCTCAAATTTAAATTTTCAAGAAATTTACCTTAATTTCTTAAATAATGGAATTAATCTAAACCTTCTTTATTGCTTTTTGTAGATGAACTACCCTAAAATTTGCACCATTTTCTAGCATAGTGGATTATTCATTATTGTGGTTGTAGGAGACAGAAGAACCTTCAAACCAACCAACACACCAACCCTCGCGCACCCCCTGCCGCTGGTTCATTTTTTTGTCCCACTTTTTAAAAGAGGTGATCCAACCCTTATCAATTTCTCTTTCAAATATTGTATTAAAGTTTTTTTTAAAAAAAATTATCACTATTAATAATTACTCAGTTCTTAAAATACACGCATTTAAACTTTCCAACTTTCCTTGGGTAAACACAAAATTTCAATGAGTAATAGTTGTGTTTTTATAAATTTTGACCACTTTTTCTAAAACCATACCACTCAAAAGCATAACAAATAAAATGAATTTGAAATAGTATTAAGTTTATTAATTAGAAAACGATTGATCCACAATCTCATATTACAATAATGTTTTGTTTAAATTAACAAATAATTGTAATCAAGAAAATGAAAATATTAAAATATCCAATTATAAATACATAATTCATGATATTTAAGTAAAACTTATAGTATATTTCACTCTTTACATAATTTTAATTAAATGCCATAACATTTTTATATCAATACATCTTAATTTTTCGTATACTAAATTATGACCAACTTAGAGGCACGGCGCACAAGAATCATAGATGGATAATGACAACATAGAATCCTGTATTTATATGAAGAATATTTGGCATTACTTGATCCTCACCAAGGCTAAGGCGGCATCTTGTCCTTGTATCGAAGTTATCAAACCACGAATAACTAATAAGATTTGAATACCACATAGGGATTTTTTTTTTTTTTGGTGGAAATGAGGTTCTGAATTCTGATATCTTGTTGAATAGTAAATTATTTTATTTCTATTTTATGATTAAAGCTGTCCAACCACAGTACGTTCTTATAGTGGGAAGGAATTTCACCAATAAAGATTCCAAAAAAAAGAAAATTCTCTTGAAAAAAGGGAGAAAAAAATGCTTAGTTTCTAAGATATGCCTAATTTATAATAAACTCCATATAGTTGGTGTGAAAATTGAGTATGTGAGTTTTAATATAAAATTTACATTCAATTTAAAATTATTTGGTAATTGATGAAGTAACTTTTTTTATTTTTTTTGTTATACACTTGATATGAGATTTTCTTACTCCACACAGTTCTCACGTGTAATCTTAATATTAATTTTATGTTCTATCCAGTGAGTTAACAATAGATTTTTAAAAAGAAACTTATATTCTTATATCATATAAAAATTGAGCATATGAATTTCAATACAAAATTTGGATCCAATTTAAAATTAATTGATAATACGTAAAATATCTCTCTTTATATTTAATTTACATAGGTTTTTTATTATACACTTAATATAAAATCTTTTCACTTAACATGAAATTTTCTCATTCAACAATTAGATCCACTGATAACAAGTGTAGTTTTTTAAATTCTGGGACCAGCACTCCTGATATGGGCCGCTGTCCTATAAATACAAGTAGTTGTATAGCCATTTGGTCTCAAGAATCTCGTTCTCTCCTTTTTAATTACTTCTCAAAGTATACTCTTTCCATGGCTTCTCTAACCTTTCCAGATATTGTTCGCCAGCCAGTTACTGTGCAGTGTTGCTATAAACCCATGTATAATTCCTTGGGAAATGATAAGGGTGACTCTTTTGCTGCTAGGAAGTCCAACACCTCTCGAGATTTATCAAGCAGTGTTGCAAGTCCTTTGCGGGTGACTGTTCCATCTCCAGCTCAGAAAGAAATCATTGCTGAACGGAATCTGCAGAACCATGTTGCTTGGACAAGCATCCGGCAAGAGAGGTGGGAGGGAGAACTGACTGTGGAAGGAGAAATACCGTTATGGCTGGTATGTATGAAAGTTTACTAAAACCCAGTTACGTACAGCCATTATTTATTCTCTTTATTATCAGTTATGCAAGTACGTGATCTTCTTCTTCTTCTTCATTACTTTTTTTCCCCCTTCTCTAGACGAATAATATTTGTCGGAGTATCATAAGATCTTTAGTGCTAGGAGAATAGGAGATAATAAGTATGGTACTTCCAAATTGTCTTCATTCCTATGTAAGCAACCAAATTCCCAACACTATCAAAGTATATAGGCGCAAAATTGATTTGAAGATACCGAATCATAGAAGTCAAAAATATAAAATAAAATCCTAGTCTTCATCAATCATCATCTAAGTTTATGTAATATGTAATATATCTATTTTAAATTCAATTTTTTATAATTAATATCACATCAAAATTCAACATCAACCTAAACCAAAAAAGAAAAAAAAAATCATAAACATCTTATATATATATAAAGAATCCATTCACATATAAATCTTATGTATTATTTATAAAATTTCAATAATTTATTTTTTAACTTTCAATAATTGAGATTTGTTACAATTTTTTAAGTGAAATAAATAATTAATTTTAATAAATAAAAATAAATTTCAATAATTAAAAATTGAGAGATATATATAAAGATTTTAAATAAAGATAGTGTTTAAAACTTATATAGAAGTAGATTTTTACTTATATATAAGTAGATTTTTACTTATATATAAGTAAAAATCCATTTATATACAAAATTTACATAATATGTGATTACACAAATTTAATCATTCATTTGTTCCTTTTTAATAGTTAAAATTTATTTATTTTAACAAAAATAATTATTTTTTATTTAAAAAATCATTATAAATCTAATTATTAAAAGTGAAGAAATAAATTATTAAAATTTTATACAAATATAATGCATAAAGTTTTCATACAAATGAATCCCTCCTATCCTAAAATTAACCTAAAATTATACAACTAAACATAAATATATTGAGAAGACGTTGTTTGTCCCATTTGTATATATGTTCGTCCCATTCGGCTCAATACGAACAATACATTGAATT